TTTAGTTTAAGAAATGTTAAACTAAATGGATATTTACATGAGATTTAATATAATAAGACCCAAAGTTATATTTTTTGTTTGTTATAATTCTTTTAATTTTTTTTTAATAATTTCACAGGAATTACTAATGTTTTTTCTAATCATCTATACTCTATTAATATAGACACCAGAGACAAACAAAAATGCAAAAGGTGGTAGCCGATTTAAATGAGACGAAATTGGTATCAAAATCAACAAAAATAGGGAAGAATATCGAACATACGCGTCATGTTTTTTATTGCTAAATAGTTAGGAAATCGACCCTTTTTTTGTTTTTTGCTAATTAATTCGAAAACTATCTCTGCTAAACAAAATTGTTTTATACAAATTAATTTATGAAGGCGTAGAAGGGCCAAATATTTTTTTTTTTGAAATTTCGATTTGAAAGTCGAAATTTCGAATACTTGCAACTCGAAATTTTGAGTGAGTTACCCATCAATATAAGAACCTTAGGCTTTCATGGTCGGAATCCATAGTACCGTAAAAACATAATTCGGACCGAAGTTCCACGGTCTAAATAAACTGTTAGGTCCAGACGTTTCCGTTGGCAACTGTGGTGGGCATCTTCAAAGGCCACGTTGTCAATGCAAGATTACTGTAGATGGCATTTCAGCCCGAAAGATAATTTTACCCATCAATGTTGTGACGATTGTTGTCTGCGATTCAATTGTCTATTAGGTTAGATTAGGTTCAACTATATAGATTCAACTATATAAACAAAAAAATAACAGAACTACATCACTCATATGGTTCGTTACCTACTTGAAAATTATGATCCTAACGCCTAATTGAAATTAAAACTTAGTTGTAATCATATAACAATACAGTAAGTAAAGACAACACAGAGGACCGTGATTGGTCCTAAAACGGCCTAAGGTAGAAGGGTTTTAATCGGTAGGTCTGAGGACTTCTTCCTCGTTCCTCGGGAGTCCGACACAGTCATAACGAGCGGCTAATTGTCTTTTGAAGACTTCCCCTCTTCCACGAAAACAAAAAAAAGACAAAACAAACGAAATAAGTGTTGTATCACCTTTGTCGTTTCTTAAAATTACCTTACGATTAGAATAGATTAGATTGGGACTTAGTTAGGTTACAATTCAATAAGCATCGAGATTTACAAGTTGAAATTTCATCATGTTACAATTAGAAATCTTGACTTTCAAATACGAAATTTCAAAAACAAATTATATTTGGACCTTTATGCCTTTGTATAAAACTAAACATTTTAAAGAAATGTTTTAAAAAACTATTTTTTTATCATGATGCGATAAAAAAACGCAGAAAATTAAAAAGCATTAAAATACTAGTTATGTTTTATTAATACAATGAAAACGGTGTATGTTACATTTATTTGTATGCTTAACAATATGAAT